CGTGTTGCAGTTGGAGCTCAGGATCACACCACCCCAAGAGACAGGGGGCAGGGCAGCCAGAAGGCACTGATAGCTGTGGCCAGAGCTCCCTGCGGCTCCCAGCAGTGGGACCAGATGCAAACCTCACCACATGTCTGGGCTTCCTATACCCCGTTCAGTCTTTACTGAGTCAGAGGCTGTTTCAAGAGATGAGCACACCCATCTTACAGCAGAATTTCTTACGGATAAGTGTGCTGCTGTCCTGGACCGTTCATCTATTCTGGGCCATTGGCCCAGCTCCGGCGTCATCCTCGAGTGCTGGGTGAACATTGCTGGGGCCTTGCTTGCGTGTGTGAGGGCCTCCACACACTTTCGTTGCTCCCCGTTGTGCCCAATGATTTTGATACCGTTAGGACCTCTTTGTCCACTTGCCTAATTATTCCTTAGGATAAATTCCTAAGAAATCAAATTGCTAGGTCAACATGTAGTATATTTTCATAGTTTGCTACCGACTAAAGATATTAAGGGTACAAAACAGACAGCCAGAATTAGATGCAGAATCACAGGGGAGTTTTGTTACCAAGACGTCATTTTTAACCAGGGAGAAAAGATGGGTTATGGGATAAATGGTATTGGAACAATAGGCTAGCCACCTGAAGAAAAATAACCGTACTCCTTATACAAAAATGAATCCCAACGGAAGCTAAGATATTAAAAACATGTTTTAAAAAAGGAGGAAAATGTTTACATGATCTTGATAAGGGGGTGGCCTAAACATGGTACGAAACCAACAAGTCATTAACTGAAAGACTGATAAGTTTGACTCCATGAAAATTAAAATTTTCTATGAAAAAAACACCATAAAGTTAAAAATCAGTCAACAAACTGGAAAATAGATCCAAAACATACGTAAGAGACGGAAGGCTGATTTTGGTATTATACATAAAAAGCTACTACAAATCATCAAACAAAAGATCCACAGCCAAAATGAAAAAATGAAGTTCCAGATAATTTTTTAACATAAGGAAATGTCAAAATATTTGACAAGTCTCTTTGTTGGCCTGGGTGTGGCCATGAGTGGTAGCTGCCGGTGGTATTCACAGATATACCCTTTCTCCTCCTTCTGGGCACTTGGTGCGATTGCAGGTTCCTACATTTAACCTTAGGTGCGGTCCTGTGTCTTGCTTAGGAGGAGGAAACGTGAGCGGAAGTGGTGTGGGTCACGTTTGGGTGGAAGCTGCATGGAGGCACCTCTTTCCGTCAGCCTCAGTGTTAATGTTCTGAATGATGGTTGCTTGATCAGTCTAGTTCTGGGGTGAGGCTAATAAAGTAAGGAAGCAAAGTCTTTGATAGACATGTGGTGTGAGGGAGAAATAAACCTTTGACATTTCAAGCCCCTGAGATTTGGGGCGTGCATGTGCTGAAAGCAGAACTTAGCCTATTCTGATGGAGTCCTCCAGCATTGCTGTGGAAGGACATCACCAATATATAGCATTTCTGTGCCCTTTATCTCGAAATTCCACTTCCAGGAATTTATGAAGCAGATACTCTTGCATGTGCAAAGAGCTATGGATAAGGATAGTTCACAGCAGATATTGTCACATGTATAAAGAGATGCTCACATGTGAAACAGATTCTCTCACGTGTAAAGAGCTATGGAGAAGGATAGTCATGGCAGCTTTGATTGTAATAGCAAAAGACAGAAGCAACCAACAGAAACACCAACCAATAGGAACTTGGCTAAAGACACTGTGGAACATACATAGAATGAAATATCTGCAGCCAGAAAAATAAGGCAGTAGATGTCAGTGCACCAGTGCAGTTTTTACCCCAAGATTAGGGCTGGGTTAAGATGTCAGATTAAGTTGTCCTTCTCCACCCCACCAATATAAATAAAAAGTTAAAAGTCAGTCATAAATATTTTTACAATTTTTAAAAGTGCCTTAAAAAGCCCATTCAAAATAGTTTCATAAAAGTAGACTATCGGCCGGGCGTGGTGGCTCACGCCTGTAATCCAAGTACTTTGGAGGCCAAGGCGGGCGGATCACCTGAGGTCGGGAGTTCAAGACCAGCCTGACCAACACGGTGAGACTCCATCTTTAATAAATAAATAAATAAATAAATAGTTTATCAATAGCAAAGACCTGGAACCAACCTAAATGCCCACCGATGATAGACTAGACAGGGAAAATGTGGCACATATACACCATGGAA